ATTGTCACCAAATTTGGTACGTGGGTCAAGCCCTTGAGCTTGATGCCCTAAAAAAAGTTTGGTGACAATCTGAGGTCATTTGAGGTCACACGGGTCAATTGAAAGGTCATGTCATTATAAAGGATTTAGGCAATTTCTGAAACATCTGCGGCCTAAAATATTTACCCAATCATCACACAAGTTGGCACAAACATAACCGGGCACACTGGATGTTACAGGTTGAAACCGGTCAAGGTCACTTGAAGGTCAAGGCAACCAAGGTCAAATATGTGTTTTTGGTCATAACTCCGTGAAGGATGGAGCTCGAGCAACAGGAGAGTCTCAAAATCTCAGAAAAATGATGATCTATTTATAATTCTATGCATTTGTAGAGTCAAATATGAATAGTTTTCCTGATAATCACTAATTCTAACAGTTTCTTTCTCTTTCAGTGTAGCCGTTAAAATTCTAACTGGAACAAAAATAATATCCATTTCTTGTTTTTCTAGTGATACACAACACACTGATCTACAGTCACACAACTCTTTGCTCTGTATATGCTCCACCTGGGTGATGTTTTTAGAAAGCACAATGTCACTTTTCACTGTTTGCAGATGACATTTAAATTTATCTGCCAGTGACCGCAATTGACAGCCAGAGCACGATCAAAGCTCTGCAGGACTGTCTCAGGGACGTACAGACCTGGCTGAGCACAAATTGAACTGAATCTAAATCATAAAAAAATGAGATTGTGGTGTTTGGACAAACTAACCCACTGCTTGGGCAGGACAGTGTGATTGTTCCTCTGTCCTCCTGTTGTCTCCTGCAGTGAAGAATCTTGGGGTGATTGTGGACTCCATGTTCAAACTGGACAAGAACATTAGCTCTGTGATTAAGTCCAGTTTCTTTCAGTTGAGGCTCCTCACTAAAGTAAAGCCCGACCTCCCACGGGCAGAGTTTATAAGAATGATCCATGCTCTCGTAACATCACCTGGACTATTGCAGTTCTTTGTATGTGGGGTTAGATCAGGGCTCCTGCAGCGTTTACAACACGTCCAGAACGCTGCAGCTGCACATCACACCTGTGCTCTGTGACCTGCACTGACTCCTGTCTCATGTCGGGTGCAAATAAATTAAAATGCTATTAATTGTTTTCAAATGTTTGCACTCTATGGGTCCAGTCTGTTTGAGGGAGTTACTGCAGCCCTGTCCTCCACCCAGAGCCCTGACATCAGACCAGCTCCTGTTGGTCGAGCCCAAAACTAATCTCAAGACGAGAGGAGACAGAGGCTTTTCTGTGGCAGCGCCCAGACTGTGGAGCAACCTTCCTCTTCCTGTCAGATCCTCTCAGTCTGGAACGCAGTTTAAGATGAGACTAAAAACTCACCTCTTCTCCCTGGTGTTTAGTACGAGCGAGTCTGGTTATCTTGGTGTTTTTATTGTAGTTTTCACTTGTTTTCTGTATGTATGTATTTGTAACTGTTTCTTCTATTTTGTTGACTTGTACGTGAAGCACTTTGATCAGCTGAAGTTGTTTTAAATGTGCTATAGAAATAAACTTGAATTGAACTAACACATACACAACTCATGAAAACTGACATTTTGGTTCCACACTAGTAAACAGACATTCTCATGTGTGACCAGCATCACACAAATGTTCTTGGACCTGTACAGATACACACATTGCATTGTGGATATAATGATCATGTGATATGGACTGGGCTTCTCATAAACTGCTTCTGTGATAATGAATTGAAACACCGACGCCTCATGAGACCAGGATGATATCTCTGATTGTGCTTGTTAGGTTTGATATATCATCATTTATTTTATTTTAAGTTTCCATTCTTTTCCCCCACATTGTTATAGATGATTGTGAATGTCTGTTTATGTGTTTATACTGTATTTACTGTACATATGGATTGTAAAAAAAAAAAAACTCTATGGGAGATCTACATATAGTGAACATTCTCATTGTTTGTGTGCGATCGGCTCTACAAACTTGTCATATTAATCTAAATGTTATAGTTTCAAGTCCTTTCAGCTGAAACGTTCTCGTTGTTGGGGTTTGTGAAGCTGCTGTGAAACATCATGTATGTTGAGTTTCTTTCCTGACAGAAGATGTTGATTGTTCATGTTGCTGAGCTCTGCCTCTTTCTCACATGGCTGTGTCACACGTCTCTCTCGCCCGACCCCTGACCCCGAGACCGCGTCCTGCATCGTGACCTTTCACCTCACATTCACTTCCTCCTCTGTTTGCCCTGAACTGGACCAAGCGCTCGTCTCAGCGGAAACAATAGACTCACAAGGAACAATGAGAACACATTAGAACACATTAGAACGCTCCAGAAGCCTCCAACCAGGACTAAACCAGGGCTAAACCAGGACCAAACCTGGTCTAAACCAGGACCAAACAAGGTTTAAACCAGGACTAAAAAGGGTTTAAACAAAGACTAAACTGTGAAAAATAAAATATTATATACTATATTTAAATGATAGTACAAAATTAGAATTAAACCAAGACTGAACCAGGTCTAAACCAGGTCTGAACTAGGAGTCAAAAGTCTAAACCTAAACCTAAACATATATATATATATATATATATATATATATATATATATATATATATATCAGATCAGTTAAAGCACATTCAGGTTTTTTCTTGTTGTTGTTGAAGTGTTTCTTTTCACATGATTTTCACAAAGTGCTGCTAAACTGAGCCTCGCTCCGACACAGGCCTGTTAAAGCTGTAAATCTCCAGGATGCCCTGCCAGGAGAGGAGGGGGCAGTATACAGTCTGTGAGTCCGACACGAGGAAACTAAAGACTTGTTAAAGTAGTGCAGTTTGGATAATGATCTTACACTTTGTGCTGACCCTGAACTTGGATAAAGGATCATGTTGTGTGTGAATGGTGGGAGGGCATCTGAATGAAACTAGGGGAGAGTGAGGGGGAGGAGGGGCAGGGTCTGGAGGTGTAAGGAACAGTGTGATTGAGACAAGTGTTTGTATCAGAATCACCTGTCTGTAGTCAGGACAGTCATGTGTGATGTCACCAACTACTTGATAGTGCAGAGGCCACTGAAGGCAGCACACACAAATGCTGCAAATTTACCTAGAATTGCCAAACCTTTGAAAATGCTCTATTTTCCAAAAACAACATATTAACATGTTTTAATAAGTTTGAGTTGAGTTTTTGAGTCTTCTCTCCCTGTGCTAAGTCACTCTCCCTTCAGAGCGCCATCACAACACAATCAGAGTTAGGGTTTTAAACCAGGACTAAACCAGGACTAACCAGGACTAAACCAGGACTAAACCAGGACTAAACCAGGAGTAACACCTGGAATTTACAGGTAGCTTTAATAACAAAGCAAACCAGTCAGTGTGTGGGTCTTACAGTCATACGGCAGCTTTTATTTACAAGAATGTTAAAGGTGCTTTTAACAGGTGAGGATAATACTGCAGGGGTGCGGCTCCACCCTAAAGCTGGGGTGAAGGAGACATGCTATAAAGTGAGAAAACAAACTTTTAATACAAAGAAAACTTACAACTGAAAACACCCAGTTACAAGTGCCACCATCAAAAATAACTATAAATAAAGTCACCCTCTAAGTGACCCCTCCACACCCAGACACCTCCAGGCCACACCCACTGCAGAGCCGTAACAAATCAACAATCAACTCAAACTAAAACTCAAAAACGACAACCAGCACTGAGCCTGTAGACACAGTGCGGTTAATAAAATACATCCATTAAAATTAAACAATAAGATAAAAGTTAAAAGCATACCTCTGATATGGACTGTTAAAACCCTTAAAATTATATTTACAAAAATTACCAATTTGTTTTCTAACAAGATTAAAGTGTACAAACAGTACATTTGTTTGGCTCACCAGAAATAGCCATGTGTTAGACCTGCTCAGGAAGAGGAAGCCACCTGGTTCCCCTCTGACCTTTATAGTGTCTGTGTCATGTGACACAGGTGTCACATGACACAGACCACATGATCAGCTACCTTGCCACACATGTCTAAACCAGGACTAAACCAGGATTAAACCAGGTCTAAACCAGGTCTAAACCAGGACTAAACCAGGTCTAAACCAGGTCTATTAAACCAGGTCTAAACCAGGTCTAAACCAGGACTAACCCAGGCCTAAACTAAACCAAATTTACCTAGAATTGCCAAACCTTTGAAAATGCTCTATTTGCCAAAAACAACATATTAACATGTTTTAATAAGTTTGAGTTGAGTTTTTGAGTCTTCTCTCCCTGTGCTAAGTCGTTCTCCCTTCAGAGCACCATCACAACACAATCAGAGTACATCCCGCTGATAAAACTACTGCACATCACATCACGTTCATCAAGCGTCTTTGTGATCTTGTCTCATGTTTTTGCATATTTATAAAGAATGGTCGTGTGGGAGCATGGGTGACATAGACTTGTGGGCGGAGCCTTGTACCAGGGTTCCCAGTCTTTTTCACTGACAAAATTTCTAAACTTTTCCATGACTTTTTCATGACCCAAAATTAATTTTCCACGACTTTACGGCACTTCCATGTGTAGAATTGATCATAGTTTTAGGTCTAAATCTGAAATGTGAACTCTTTCCACTCACCTTATGGTTTGCGATTATAGTTTTTGAACATTCAACATCCTGTCAGTGCATTTATTGTCATCTCTTTTAAACAAACATTCAGAAATAATCAGACTAGTCTAATGAGAACTTCACAGAATGCTGTAGTTGCGTGAAAGAGATACTACAATTCCATGGGGCTTTTCTAAAACTGTCATTGAATTTACACAATTCCATGACTTTTCCAGGATTTCCGTGACCGTGGGAACCCTCCTTGTACAGAATCTTACTGAATCTAACCATAAGGAGGGTTCAGTAAATAACTCAAATGAAGGATGGATCATGGATGACTCTAAAAACTAGAAAACTCCAAGAAGTCCATTTTGTGATTCGCTTCTATTTACTAAAAGAAATTATTCAGAAGTGAACAAAAGACCAAATTTTTCTGCTTCACATCATTTTATTAAAAGAATTCATTATAAAGAAAATACACTTTAGTGGATTTATTTACAAAAATACAGATTTGAGTCGACATGGTTTCACTGAGGCATTCTGTTGGAAACAATGGAAAGGCACAAAGTGGACAAACGCCTTCAACTGAAATTGAATATTTTACACTTAATAACACAATAAATACGTCACAATTCATACAAAACACAACTTTACACATTTGTAGATAACTTTACCTACTCAAGTCAAGTTTCACAGGATTTGAGTTGTTCCTACAGCTCCAAAAACAAAAGATCATTTCATAAATATGCTCTTAATATTTCCAGTACAGGGTGTGTTCAGTCCCTGAGAGAAGACGTAAGCTCTCAAGACAGCACCACGACACGAATCAGTGTCACTAGAACACAAATACTGTTTCAATGAGTTTCTGTTCTTCTAGTATCTATTTAATTTTAAATAAAGAATTGTCAAACAACTCTTGCCATTGTTATTCTAAATGTAAAAGGTTCAAAGTGTAACTCTTCCTCCCAGTTTCTTGTCTCTTGCACCTCTCCTCAGATCTGACTCGTAACCTGACATAGTGGCATCCCTTAGTAAGTCAATGCCGTTCAGCGGAACAAGCCAGACAAACTAATCACATCTCCATGGAGACAAGCAGGTAGAGGAACTCTGCCGGAAAAGTTACACTGTACCTTTAAACTGCACTTCTTCCTGGGCTTCTTATTAGGGATGCATTGATATGATACTGGTATCGATATTGGCACCGATATGGAATATTTTGGTGGATCAGGTATCGGTTCCAAGATGTTTATTGAGCCGATATCCTGTTTTGGTCAATACAAATGTACAGTTTTAGAGCAACATTAGTCACTTAAATGATAAATTAAAAGTTACAAAACACATTTAGATCTTTTTTTTTGTGTATAAAGGAAATCATTTGTTCAGCGTCTGTTCTGGTATCGGTTGATGTCGTGTCTTGGCAGATTCTTTAAGGTATCGACATTAGTATCAGTATCAGAAAAAGCTGGATCGGTGCATCCCTCGTTCTTATGAGAAATACTGGTATTTTGTTATACACTATTTGGACTTTTTGGAACCGTTCTTAAAGCTGGTCCAAATTAAACTCAAAATATCTTAAAATTAAATAAATTGCTCATAGAAAAATTGAGCTCCTGCGCTTTTTACAAACTGTTGAGTTCAGCAGGGCAGGGAGTGGAGTATTTGTTAAGAATAAGTGAGTAAGTTTCAAATTCTTACTTTTCAAATACTTACTTTCTTAAATTTTGTTTTTGACTTCACTCCACTGCATTACTCGATATAAAATTTCAGGATTGAACCAAAAAACTAGATGATTTCTCTTTCCAAACTGAACGAGTCTTCCAATCACATATTAGACCTTAAAGGTGATGCAATGTTAAGGTGTCAAATTTAAAACAGAAAATCAAAAAGAAATGCTTCTGTAGTTTAAAATATTACAGATTGTTTTCAGATTTGGTCAGAATTTCACAAAATATCTACTGCAAGGTTTCATTTGCAGAAAACTTAAACACAGCCACATTTTCAGTTGATTTAAAGAACCTAGATTATGCAAAATTGTTATACAGTTGTTCCCTCCTCAAAAACAGACCTGGAGTTGTGTTTTGTTTCATTCATAAACCCTGCCACAACACCAGGAAACATTTTAACATAGATCAGAAAAAAAAGTAATCTAGGCTCTTTAAGTACAGTGCAAATGTGGCTGAAAAATGAAAGTGTAACAAAAATATCAAAACAATAAAAGAATTACTGCCAAATCTGTGGCAGTGAAAATAAAATTCTCCTTTTTGGTCACATAAAAATTCAAATAAAAGTTAGACTAGAATAATTAGTCTGAGTTTAGTGTTAACCAAAACTTCAGTCTTCCCAAAGTGGTTTTCCTGCTCTGGGATTGGTCGGTTTAGGCGTGTTCCTGTCTGCCATTGGCTCAGTGGAATGATTCCTCTTTTGCATTTGAGCTGCTCAGGGATTGGCTGGTTTCTCCGCGCTGTTCGGAGGCGTTAACGTGGAGGCGCTGAGGGGGAGAGGAGAGAGGGAGCCGTCGAAACGATCCGACTGTCGCTCCTGTGCTTTTCTCTGATTAAAAGAAAGAAAATACATTGTTTGAGTTTAATGGGAACTGTTTTGCCTTTAGTCCTCCTCTGTACACTGAATATGAACTCACCAGTAGATCCAGGTAGGCCACGTGTGTCTGGATGTTGTGCCTGTCTTCGGGTTTCACTTTGGGGAAGGACTTGAGCTGAGGATGGGGCTCTGAGCGCAGGGTCTCCATGAAGGGAGTCATCCACCGCACACAGGGGGACACCGTCTCCCACGACAGACCTGAGCAGAGAGAGAGGAGGGCAGGGCTCAGTTTAATACACAAGTCCAGAATACTTGATACACTTAGAATCAAAGCATGCACACTGTTTTTCAATATTGTTTTTTAGCAATACTTTGTCTTTTTGAACATTTTAAAGGATTATCTTATCTTAAAGACTGACCTGAGACTCTATGCACCACATCGAAGGAGGAGAAGTGACAGAACGCTGCAGCCGCCAAAACAGAGTACGAGAAGTCCAGAGCACCAATGTCCATCATACACAGGTCTAACAACTGAGAGAGAGAGACACACACAGGTCAAACATGTTAATAACAGAGTCATAATGTCCATCATACACAGGTCTAACAACTGAGACAGACACAGGTCAAACGTGTTAATATCATAACGAGAAGAAAGAGCACAGATCTAAAAGCTCAGGAAGAAACTGTTTTACAACTGAGAGGAAATATATCTTCAAAAGCCTGAAAACCCATCTCTTTAAAACCACCTTTCATTATCTGTCTTATTTCTTTTGTTTGCCTTTGTTTCTTCATGTAAAGTGTCTTTGAGTATCTTGAAAAGCACTATACCAGTGTATCCCCAGGTTTGACTACCCCAAATTTAAGACTTTAAGACCTTTTTAAGACCACTTAAATGAAAATTAAGACCAATATTGCACCCATTATGTGGGCAAAAAATACCAGATCCAATTCTAATAATGACCGACCAACTAACTAATCTAAGAGCCACTGTGGATTAAACCTACACTTCCTCATGATCCATCCATCGTCTTCCTCCACTCTGATTGTTTACTCATTGCCGCCAGCACCAGAAACCAAAGTATTGTTTGTGCACACTCCAAATGACATGTTCATTCACATTGTTTTTTTTTTCCTCCCTCCATTTAACACTGCACTGCAGCCCGGCTGAGTAAACAAAAAAATTGGCTAATGAAATTTAAGACTTTAGTTAAAAAAAATAAGACTTGGACAACAGAATTTTAAACTTTTTAAGGCCTTAATTTAGGAACATGAAATTTAAGACCTTTTTGAGACTTTTAAGACCCCCATGGGTGCCCTGTATACAAGTGTTATGTTTTATTATTATTCAAACTATTGAATTAATGTGTATCCAAGACACATACAACTAGAATGAACTAAGAACAATCAGAACGCTAATTTAGTCTTTATTACAAAAATACTGGACATGATGCCCCAAGTATGTCACATGATCATCCAATCAGAAAGCAGAATGAGCCTCACATGAGTCATGTGAGTCGTTTGTGTTGCCAGGTTCAGTCCTTAAATCCAGTTGGTTTAAACCTTAAATGTCTCTCTCTGATCTGAATGGTGTTTACCTAAACCCCAGCGCCTGCAGCATCATGCGTCAGTGCTAATGCAGCTTCTGCGGCTCAGGAAGGGAACTCTGGAGGTTCTGACATGTTTATTACCTGTGTTATCTGGATGTATGTTTCTTGTTTAAACTGAGGTACAAGGAAGTTCTCTGCGTCGCTCTGAGCCTCGACCTGACAGTAGAGCTTCAGCCACGAGATCGCCGTCTCCGGACACAGGTTCCACTCCAGAGCCTGAAACACACAGAGGACGTGTTAAACATGAGAGTCACATCCGAGCACACACACCAAGATGAAAGTCACATCTGAACACAAACACCTCCAGAGCCTGAACCATACAAGAGAAGTGTTAAACATGAGAGCATTATGAGGTATTAGTCCATAAGCTGTGACAGATAACCTCTCTAGAGCCTAGAGTAGAATAAAAAAGTAAAACATGTTTGATTAGTCATTTGAGGCTGAATAAACCAACAGACCTTTAAAAGTACTGAAAGCTTTTCTGCTCATGTGTAAGGAGTCATTCAGGGCTTTTAGTTGGGATGATTCATTTTCATTTATTCGTGGTTTTATTCATAACTTTTGTATTGTGCCTTGGTTTCAAGTATAAATATCTGAACTGACCTTGAGGATGTGCAGTTCTGTTTTCTGAATGTCCCACGTGTCACAGGCTCCGTCCGTGACATAAGCGAACTCGAAGATCTTTGGAGGGTAAATCTCCTGGAGAAATACGAACCGGAGAGAAATGATCAGACTGGTACAAGAAGGAATTCATTTCAGAAACTGTTCAAAATGATAATATTTTGCGTACCTCTATCTTGGCTGCGATGAACAGGGCAGTGATGCCGATGAGTTGGAGATAATCTTTGTTCATGTCGTCTTGAGTCAACATGAAACGGTCAAAAAAGTCCTGAGCCAAATACGCCGTCTGTCTGTGCAGGCTGTACACCTCACTCACCTGAGCACACACAAGAGCACCCAGAAACTATGAGGAAAAAGACCTAACCTCCACCATCAACCTTCTGAGCTGAGGAAGGGGCCTGTCTTCTGCTCTCATCTACATTTATCGGGGAGTCTAAACACATTTGTCACCACTCGTATTTCTCACATGTTTTTTGATCATTGGAAACTTTTCTCTGACACTTTGGAGACAAAAACTGTGCACAGCTGTCACATATGCGATGCTGCCAGCCAATAGGGCATCTGGAAATATTTTTGTACTGACTCAAACCCGAGTCCTGAGTTTCACAAAAGACAGCAGACAGACACTCGGCCCACTGCCTACAGGTTTTGACAGACAAACTTAAACAATAAATACTTCAAATAGTTAGTGTTTTACCTCGAGGAGCCAGTCGAGCAGGATGGCCCTCATCTTGGGCTGTACTTTGGGGTGTTTCTGGAGGTAACTTTTGTCATGGACGTACTTCAGCTCTTTGTTCAACATTTTGATCCAAACGTCGTCACAACTCGCCCAGCTGCAAAGGAAAAAGCACCACACTTTAATATCAAGTGCATGTGACTGTAGTCTAACTAGTGTTAGACTACAACTCACTAAAACAGTCATCATCAGGTTTTTTTTACCCTTTATTTAATATAACTTACAAAATGACATACCTAGTTAAGACATAATTCCATAACTGTTTTCTAGCAATCGTAATGTAAAGGGCCAAAACTTGTCTATATTACACAATAGTCCTGATTAGACTAAAAATAAATACTTTACTACAAAATCCATTCGGGATAATAAATACAACTGGTAGTATCCCACCAAACCAAGTCAGAATTAGAATTCTTTGTCTGCAGTTTTTCTTATCTTGTGGATGACGTTTACAGTAAGAACGGGAGAGGGGAGGGAGAGGGGCGGGGGAGGGGGCTGAGCCAAACCCAACTAGTAATGAAAATGAATGGGGCCCTTATGGCTCTTTCTGATGCTAATGGTCTAAACACAGAGCCCCTGAATGCAACAGGGAATAAATTATGCAAAACGTATTAGAGATAAAACAGGAAAAGCAGGAGGAAAGCAGCTGCTGTGGCCATGACTCAAAATAAAAAAGTACAATCTGTGACATGAACAAGCTTTGGGTCATGAGTGAAAATCTATGACAGAGGTGATGTGACAGGTTTATTTTACACCAGATGCAGACACATATGTTTAACAGGCCAGGCACCGATTGGACCACACCCTAGTCTAACACCAAAAGCAGGGGTTTAAACACAACTGGACCTTTGAACAAACACACTAAAGATCAACAGACTGATTCATTTATGTGGAACAGACTTGATACTCAATACATGGTGGTAATAAAAACAATAGAAAGTGATTTTCCATATTAAATTGTAGTTCTTTCTTTCCTATTCCCACACGTCCTTATATGTGTGTAATCGTCAGTGGCCCAGTAGTTTCATAATGGTCCATGGGTGTGTACTAGTCTATGTGCTCTTCTACTTGTTCTGATACAGATCAACATCATTCTAAAGACGTTCAGGAAAGGTTCTACTCTGTCCTGTCAATGGGACTTTTTAGTATCCATACCTGCTCAAGTCAGTATCTAGTGTCGATACTACTTTTAGTGTTGATTAGTATCTGATTTTCGATACTTTAGTTAACCCTGCCTCTCAGTCTCATGTGTTTAACAGACCCAGCACAGGCTGAACCACACCTCTGACGTCTCACACCTAACGGTCAAAACACTACTGGGGCTTTGAACCGAGACAGACTAATTCATTTAAAGTGTAAATTTAGGCGCATTTAGTCTGACAGTGACAAATACAGATGCAAGTGTTTTACGTCAGTTACTTAAACTAGTGGACTAAACCAAGACCAAAACAGGACTCAACCACAACTGAACTGGCCCAAAACAGTACGAAACCAGCACCCAGTCAGACCTAAACTAGGACTAAATTGGGACTGAAGTATATATTTTTTGTCACAAATCCTAGTCAAGCAAGTCCTGTTTTAGACCTGGTTTAGTCTTGGATTAATCTTAGTTTAGGCTTCAGTTAAGTCCTGGTTTAATCCTGATTCTGACTGTAGTAGAACCTTAGCTCTGGTACAGGCGATAGCTGTACGCAAAGGTTTTGTAGGTTGGTAGTAGCAGTAGTTATAATATAGGGCAGTATAGTAGTAGTAGAAATAGTAGTAGTACCTTAGCTGTGGTATAGGTGATGGTTGTATGAACAGGTTCTTAAAGGTGAACTGTCTGAAGCTTTTGGGGTCACTCGGCTCCAGTTCTTTATGAGGAGTCTCAATGAGGACACAGGGACTGGCGCCCTCTTCTGACCTCCAGCACTTCTGCAATAAAAAGACAACAACAAAATTTAAAAACACTATAGAAAAGAAAGAAATGTAATATAAGAAAAATTTATATTTAAACACATTTGAATGCCATTCCTTTGACTTAAATGCTGTATACTGACTCATAGTAAAGAAAAATACATTGATTATAAGTTCAAATGTCTATAGAGTGTAAGCATTTAACTGTGAACTGGGGACATCTAGAGGTAATATAAAGGTACTGCAGCTAAATAGTATTTGAGGTCACTGTGTCAGATTGAGAACAGGTCTTCCACTGCTGTCTGTAGCCAGCACCAATTTAGATTTGTTTATGTCATTCTAGTATACAAGTCACAGAATTAGCAAGACTGTTGACAAACATGCACTGACCTGGATTTCATAGCTTTGTTTCTTGGGGGCTGGTTGCAGTTTCTTCTTAAGGGGCTAAAGACAAAAACAACAAAACATTAACATTTTACAAACCTCGATTTTTAAAACTTAAACAATTCCACAACTAAAGAATTGAACATTGAATTGATTTTTGTTTTTGTACTCTACATATACAACTAGATTTGCAATATATGTTTACAATGTAGGATTCTGTTCACACTGTGCTCAAGGTAAACATCTCCAGAAGCACTCACATTTGAGAGAAGACGAAATCTGAACTTTAAACTAATAAAGAATCTCATGTATTTCAGAACATGTTTGTAGAGAGCTAAACTACAGCTACAAGACATTTTTAATGAAAGACAGAAAAGAGAATATTGTTCTTTGCAGACAACATTCTTTTATCCTAATATCTGCATCCGTTATGATTTCAAAATTTCGTCAACTGAAATTGCAACCCACCCAGACAAGGAGAAGATATTAACCACTCTGCCACCACACAAGGCTTGAAACTGAACCTCATCTGATGCTAATAACAGATAATAAAATAAAAAAGAGGAGCGTCTCACCTCAGATTTCCTCTTTTTGAGCTGTGGCTTCACTGTGGGCTCTGGCGTGTTGGAGTCTCTCACCTGCAGAGTAAGTCGGCCGCTGAAAAAAAAACAATAAAACTTTGTTAAAACAAGTAAAATGGCAAAAATTAAGCCCATGACTAAATTCATGTGACTTCAGGATTGGTCAAAAAAGCTGAAAATTACAATTACACTACTATTGACATGGAATAAATGCCATTACATTCTTGGTTACTGTATTGTTGTATGAAGAACGAGTGTACAATAGACTAGGGTTGTCTCAAAAAGTAGATACTCATTTGAGCAAATATCAATACTAAAAAAGTCCCACTGACAGGACAGAAACTAAGCTTCCATGAATGTCTTTAGAATAATGTTGAGCTGTATCAGAACAAGTATAAGTATGAGGGATTACACAGATAAGACCACATGGAAAAATAAAAGAAAGAACTACATTTAGGGTTGAAAATCACATTCTATTTCCAAAAGAAAGAAAAAGAAAACTTGCTATTGTGGTATCAAAATTTGCATTGAGTATCGAATCTATTCCATAGTTTCAAAATGAGTCTGAAATTTTAATATTACGAAAAGCTAAGTTAGAATTGCCTTGTGATAGTTAAAATACAATACTGCAACAAAGCTTGTAAAAGAGCACATCTTCTTAGAACAGTATTCAGAATAGTCACATTAACAAATCTAACTGTACTGCATGTATTTGGCATCAGTCAAAGTTTACATGGACATACCTGCGTCGAGACATGATGTAGGCTTGAGTTATTGCTTTACTGGAAAAGACAAAAGGAGAAAATTTTAGGATTATAATTACCAGATCCAACAGATGACAGTAGAAACCAGTAAGACTAGTTAACTGTAGTGTAATAACTTGGGAGCCATTTTGAGAACTAACTACACAAACTGGTCCAAGAGACACATGATACAAGGGTAAAACTGTCAATTAATAAACTCACATTTGCATTAAAAACCATACAAGTTATTACAATAGTGTTCAGAGTATAATATTACATTATATTAAGTTAGAAGCGCTCAATAGACGTGACAGCCCTGCGCAAGTCTGATCAGATAATGTTAATAAAAAGGAGTAATATCATAATTAACAAAGTGTTCATGGTAAATTGGTTGTGACAGGGTAATAGAGCAGGGTTGGAGCTTTCAGAATCGGTAAACATTGGTTAAATTAGATGTAACCGAGATGTAAATAAAAAAGGCTAAATTAGCAAGAACTGAAGCTAAGTTTGAAAAGGGAGCCAAAAAGGTGGGGGCACTTTTACCGCTCTCAAATACGGACAAAACACTCCAAAATGAACCAATTAACCTCGCATTTTCAACAATATACTCGTAATCAAACGTTTCAAGATTGAGATGATGTTATTTAAACTTGTCAAATCGGTGAAAAAATGACTTTTATCGAGATTGGAAACTCAAAGACGCGCCATTTCACTAAGCGCCAGAGCGGGAGGAACTTACCCCAGCCTGCTCCAGTCTAAGCGGGGAAACTGTGCACAAATGCCCGCTTAAATCTGTCCGTATCACTGTAATTACACATTTACCTGGAGGTTTAGACGCTCGGGAATCATATGTTACAGCAGTTGAGTTTTTGGAGCTAAAAAAAACTCCCCAAAAGCGGTAAACAGCGAGGCTAAACTGATAAGAGATGCTACTGTCCTAGCCGCTAAAAGCCCGGTCACTGCTAACTAGGTCAACAATAACTGGGTCCCACACAAAAAGACAAGATGCTTAACGACTTCATCACCTTTTTAACACTTTAACAACATGAATAACATGGCTAAAGTCAATGTACACCCCAATATATGCAACAGATAGCAGTTTAAAGCAGAAACGTGCAAGTAAAGGTTTTAATGCGTTTAACTGCAATATAAACCAAAAATACAGCTTTGGACCAAAATGCAAGCTCAGAGTGGATCTAAACAACATGATATCACTTTAATAGTTCTTACAACTACATACAAGCAAAAATAAGACATGTATTTTACTGTACACTTGCATAATTTGAGCCAAACCTGTACATACAATAGTCCTTGTCTAGTCCTGGTTTTAAGATGGTTTGATTGTAGTTACATGATAAATTTTTAGTCCTGGTTAGTTACACATTTAAGATTCCCTCCAATTATGTTACATTCAAACTAAGCCATGTATTATAATGTCTAAAAACGACTGAAAATGGAAATATAGACTTGTACAAAGCCAAGAAGTTTAAGTCTTGGTTTAGGTCTAGTTTAATCCTGGTATAGTCTAGTATTTGGAGGTCTTCTAGTCTAGTTTGGAGGGCTTTAGTCTTGGTTTGCTGTTGTAGCCTGTAGATTCCCTCCAAGCATTACAAACTGTACCATTTACTCCAATACACAATGAAACCAAAACTCAAAACAGCGCAAAAACGCATCGGCAAAGCAGCCTCCGTGCGTAAAACCCGCATTAAATCAACATAATACACTAGCAAACAATGCAAAAGTGTGATAATGAGTGTTAAAAGTGCAGATGAGCTCTTACCGTGGCGGTGCAGAATGAATGAATGATCAGCTGTGGCGCCAAGCCTTATATCAACCCGCGGCTGACTCACACACTGCGCATGCGGCTTCCCGGTCTCACACAAAAGCGCTAAAATCTTCAAATCTCTGGCGCTTTTCCCGCACTTTAATCACCCCCACGGACAGATGCAAACCTAAACCTTCTCCAGACAAGTTTCGAATGCAGCACGTTTGATATAAGACGTGCTTTAGTGAGTTTTATTCGAGAGTCCGTGCATTTTAAACCGACGCAGCGTTCGTGGATGTTTGCGTGAAATGGCGGTCGTGCGTAACTCCCGGTTAAATTCAAACAGTGCGTAAAGGTTTGGTAAATCAGATCTGGCGCAGAAACACGGTTACAGTTTCGTATTTTGGGGTTTATTTGCGTTTTTTCGGCGGGTTCTGGAGCGCTTCCGTGTGCGGGGAGGAGACGTGGTGACGTACAGCCAATCAGAGCGCGCCGAGGAGAAGCCTCGTGGACCGGCGCAGAATGTCAACAAAAGAGTCACGTGGTGCGCGCGATCAGCTGATGTGTCAAATCCACAGAGACAAGAGCAGACAGAGAAAAGCGCGGTTTATGGGGGATTTAGACCGTTAAAGTGATCAGTTATAGTTTAATGTTAGATAAACAATGAAAATAAAGTATTGTTTTATAAATACAGTGTACTACCAAGTAATCTACAAAACCTGTTCAAAATGAGAGAGAGAACTCATAATTTAAGAGTGTATGGAAGTTTCTGTGTGTCTATGTGGTGTAAAACTAGTCTAGAACTGTCTGGATACACATCTCAAGCAATGCCAAAATATCCATTAATTCAAGTTGTTATATACAGGGTTCCCACGGTCATGGAAATCCTGGAAAAGTCATGGAAATTGAAAATGTAATTTTCCAAGCCTGGGAAAGTCAAAGAATTTTGTAAATTCAGTAAAAAATTTGTAAAAGTCATGGATTTTTAGTATTAAATTTAGAATTTTACTAGCAACTACAGCGTTCTTGTAAGTTATCATGAGGATATTCTGATTATTTCCAAACGTCTGCGCCTTTTGTTTAAAAGAGACGACAATAAATGCACTGACAGGATTTTGAATGTTCAAAAACTATAATCTAAAACCATAAGGTTAACATTTCATATTTAGCCCTAAAAGTCTGATCAGTTTTACACATGTAGGTGCTGTAAAGTCATGGAAAATTCACTTTGGTCATGAAAAAGTCATGGAAAAGAGATTTGAGATTTTGAGAAGAGTGGGAACCCTGTATGTAAACATGGTCTGGTCACAGTATATAGAGAGGATCTTAATATTAGAACAATACTTCCTTCTGTAGTGCAGCTTTATGCTTGTTGTTTCCTCACCTTTACTTGTATCTGTGGTCTGTCACCATTATTGGAATCCATTTGTATTATTGTAAAATGATGACAGTCCTATTGCAGAGCTCTAATAGTGACTCTTTGTCCACACTTGTAAAAAGTTCATATAGTTTAATGTAAAATGTCTGAAAAATGCAAAAGAGAGCTCATTGTGTCAGATTAGAAGAGTGGGGCTGGGATTAAATACATTTTCTTCTTCTGACTCCTTTTTGGGCAATTTGTTGTTATTTCTGCTGTGATTTCACTAATGTTACATGTTCCATTATAAAGAATGTCCATTTCTTACTTGCCTAAAATAAATAACACATCTTTTTTTTTTTTATTCACATTATGTTAGCCCTCACTAATATTTTATTATATTATGTGCATATTTATTTATTTATTTGTGCATTTAGAAGACAAGAATAACATAGGAGTAACTATTAACCTAATCTAATGTGAAGGCAAATCAAAATATAATTCTTTAAATCCACAACTCAATATATATCTATTTAATTCTGAAATGTAGTGAAATTGAGGAACATCCAAACCATACTTTGGAACATTCTCCAGAAAATCCTGTACTCTGGAATTTTATAGCTAAATCAAATAAAATCAAATCAAACTTTATTTATAAAGCGCTTTTGATACAAAACTGTAACACAAAGTGCTTTACAGTGATTAAAAACAATCCCACATTTCCATCCGCCCACCAACCCCCACACCTGCCCGACCCCACACAACCAGACAACCCAAACACACACACACAAACACTGTAAAATACATAAAACGACACACAGTAAGATGTGAGGCTGAATACAGGTGAGCCAGTTGAGAAAGCACCATTAGAGGAGCCGTCTACACCAGGAGCAGAGAGACGTCCACCACCACCAGGAACCACCACAGGAGCCAGGGGAGAGATGAAGCCCAGACACCAACTCTTCACCAGGAGCCCACATGACAGACCCAACAGCCACAGCCGACCTCTGCTCCTGGTGCAGAGGCTCCTACAGAGGAAACACTGGAAATCCTAAAAATATGCCTAAAATAAATAAATATAATAAAATGTGTACAATAGAGCCAAGTAAAAGTATAAGATTTCAATCAAAAGCTAAACTAAAAAGGTGGGTCTTGAGCCTGCTCTTAAAAACATGAACGTTCTCTGCAGCCCTGAGCTCCTCCGGCTGCAGTTCCATAGACGAGGGCCGTAGAACTGGAAAAACTCCTCTCCTGACTGAGTGTGTGCCCTGACTTTGGGAATGACCAGGATCTGCTGCCGGAGGAGCGCAGGGTCCACGAGGGTTTGTAGGGTAAAAGCAATTCTGAAAGATAAGAAGGCCCAAGACCATTAAGACATTTAAAAACCAGTAAAAGAACTTTAAAATCGATCCTGAAACTCACAGGGAGCCAATGCAGTGATTTTAAAAACTGGTGTAATGTGGTTCCGCCCTCTGGTCCTCGTCAGGACACGCGCTGCTGAATTTTGTAATAATTACAAACCTGAAAGTCTTTTTGGGAAGAGCAGAGAGCAGGGCATTACAGTCGTCTATTCGACTGGTGATAAAAGCATCAGCGTCTCCGTGTTGGCCAGAGAGAGAATGGTGCAGACAAAACAATTTTTGTGATGTTCTTAATGTGTGGGATAAAAGTCAGCTCAGAGTCAAAAATGACGCCCAGGTTTTTTACTTGAGGAGATGGTTAAAAGACTGTGTTTGTAGTTTGGGTAAAAGTTTCTCTCTCTAGGCCTCAGGACCAATGAGTAAAATCTCAGTTTTGTCCTGGTTAAGGTGGAGAAAGTTTTCTGCCATCCAGGATTTGATATCTAGAATGCAGTTAAAAAGAGCATCCATTGGTCTGGTGTCATCAGGAACATTTCCACGGAAACAAGCAGGAAGGAGCCCTCCTCCAGGCCTAAAAAGAGTCAGACTTGTGGTTTCAAAGGAGGCCAATAAAAACATAAAACTATAGTGTATGAAATATCCCAGAGATTGTAGTGAAAAGCTTAATATACAAGAAGAGACAAAAGCAGAGAATTGTGCATTTTCTCATTTATTTTGCTCTAATATTGAGATCACAGATTAACAGTCCAAAACATGACCTTAAAGTCACTCCTCAGAACTACATCCATCACACAGCTATAACATAAACATGAGAATACAGAGTTAAAAACCCTACAGTCTTTTTATTTAGTCTTTTTTGGCAAAGTGCTGAGTATTATTACAGGTAAACTACACAAAAACACGTCGTGAGATTTTCAAAAATGCCACAAATCTTCACACTTTTGTCCAAATAATAGAAAGTTCCTGCTACATTTGACTGTGGTTATAGAAAACATGGGCGATGCTGGTTCAGACGACACAGTGGTGCATAGTTACCGAGTCCGATCAAAACAAAGACATTTCAAGTTCTTCATTGATGCATTGTCCAAAACCTGGAAGGCACGTGATCCACAAAGTTTCAAGGCATTTGAAAATCAGAATAAAAACACAAAATTAATGTTAAAATCCCTGTGAAGTGACGATACTGGAAAACAAGCTCCCTTCTGTCAAAATAAAACGATAAACGATTGCAGATAGAGAAAAGCTTAAAACACTTGAGTATTCATATTTACAGCAAAACAAGCTAATGCTAAGAAGCTACATCTGTTAGTACGTTCAATGTTTATGCTACAGATACTGCAGGCAAAGCTGGAAATACGCCACCAAAAATAGAAGAAAAAATCGAAAATATAACATGTTTTAGTGGGATAGTTGCTAATCTAGTCTATTCTTATTAATCATTGCAAACTTTGATTTATTAAAGACGACCTATTGTGCTTGTCTGTGATCTATAATTACGATCTATGACACCGTGGATCATTCTGTTATCATTTGCACATTTTAAATCACAATATTCACCTAAAACGATTTAATAAAAGAAGCAAGTCCGCTGATAATCGTGTTAGAAAACTGTGGTGTCCAGTGGGAGCTGGCGTTACTGTAAACGTCATGACAACAAAGCGCCGCATGCTGTAGGCACCTACGATGGATAGCTGCACATCACACTAGAGCAGGGCAGTTTTTGATCCATCTATCGATTAATGCAAAGAACGTCTGTCTGTGTGTCCTCCTGTTGGTTTGTTTGTTTGTCTGTTCCCAGTGTTGGGGAGTAACAGATTACATGTACTGGTGTTACGTAATCAGAGTACAAATGATGAGTAACTGTATTCAGTTACAGTTACTGTTTCCATGAGTGGTAATTGGATTACAGTTACTTTGTTGAAATAAATGGATTACACAGCGGTATTTTCCTGTTTTCACATTATTTTTATTTTTAAATTTTTTTTTTTTTGGTAATTCCACTCATTGCTGGGAACTAAACCAGGACTAAACCATGACTAAAACCAGGTCTAAACTAGATCTAAACCAGGACTAAAACCAGGTCTAATCTAGATCTAAACCAGGACTAAACCATGACTAAAACCAGGTCTAAACTAGATCTAAACCAGGACTAAAACCAGGTCTAATCTAGATCTAAACCAGGACTAAAACCAGGTCTAAACAAGATCTAAACCAGGTCTAAACAAAAACTAAATCAGGACTAAACCAGGATTTAACAGGACTAAACCATGCTGCGCAGACGTGTCTCCTCCTTTTCTATCAATAATATTTTTAATACGGTTAAGTATCCTGGTCTTTGTTTCTCTACAGCAAATCAAGTAATCCAAAATATTCAGATTACGTTACTCACTTTAAGTAATTTAATGGATTCCGTTACAAACTACATTTTGGTGTATGTAATCTGTAATCTGTAGGGGATTACATTTCAAAAGTCACCTTCCCAACACTGTCTGTTCCACACATAACTCAAGAATCGCTCATCCGGCTGATCTCAAATTCATGTTGTTAGGGCAAAAACACTAAAGACCTCATAAAATGAGTGGTATATTTTAAATACTAGTTTGTACAGGGTGACTAAATGTCCGTTTTTCTCTGAACATGTCAGTTTTTTGCGTTCTGTCCTGGGCGTCTGTTTTTTTTTCCGGGTTTTCATGATCTTTCATTGGGGCCATGGAATTGAGCGTCTCTTGTAGCTCTCTGTGACTCAAAAGGAGTGAGTGAGCAGACGCAAACAGTCGGTCAGCCTGCAACACGCCGAAGCACAAATGCACATTAAACGATGACTTGTACAAGAAATTCTCCGTTTTTCGTCCTGTCATCGCCTTCGACCGTTAGGACAAGTGGGAGGTCATGTGCACGGTTTGCGAGGTGAGACTCAATTCGAGCCCCCCCCTCGGTAAGGTGTCCAGGTTTTCACAAATGGAAATATGGTCACCCCAAGTTTGTACCAAAATGACTACGCGATGCCGCCCAATCCTCAGAGTATCATCGATGAAGAAAATAATACGGGAGAAAGAGTGGGCATGAATCGGCAGCAGTGAAATTGAAATACACACTAATATTTAAAATATATCACTCATTTTACCTTTTTTTGCCCTAATTGCATGAAACTTGGCACTGCATACACCCATCCCATTAGGATGACACCCTCCAAATTTGAGATCAGTTGAATGAGCAGTTCTGGAGTTATATGTGGAACAGGCACACAAACCAACCGACAGGAGGACACAGAGACAGACGTTCCTTGCATTAATAGATAAATAGAGACTACTTTGTACCAAAATGACTACGTGACGCCACCCAATTCTACGAGTATCACCGAGGAAGAAAATAAAACAGGAGAAAGAGTGGGCAGGTATTGGCATCAGTGAAAACGAGAGTTGAAAAGCAAAACAAAAATTGTTCAACAGCGAAAATCCGTGATTGAAGCTCTAAAGCATTTTACAGACTGAAAGACAGAGAATCCCTCGAACCATCATTTTATAAAAGCCTCTTCTTATTGTAGGTTAATTAAACTGCCTAAAATGACATTCCATTTTGGTGACATAACTCCCAGCTTTTCCCATTGCTTCCACAGTATTCAACATCAGAATCGTTAGTCCATCAGTTTCAAAGCACAAAAGCCAATAACAAGCAAATATTAATACAACAAAAAAAATAAAAGTGAAAAAAAGTTAAGGTTGCTGCTACTTTTTTGGTTTATAAATATGTTTAAACAAATGTAACTAACGCAGAAATACAACATCTTAACAAATACACAACGTTAAACTAAAAGAAAACGTCCGCTATAGGATTCTTGTTATAAAAAGTTGTTAAAACGTTTACGGGTTTCGAGCAAATCTGCATTTTCCTAAAGTTAGTGATTGGTTATGACCCTGAGAAGTGGACTGCAGATTTCTCAAATAAACAAAACAAACCAAAAAAAAAACATTAAAAACACGAAATTTCAACTTTTTTTTTCATAATTTTTTGCCCAATCGTCTATACAACAACCATGCAACAGGCTAACATCACAACACACACAGCTTCATCCTGATATGTTTTTGTCTTTTAAAAAAATATTTTGGAAGTTTTTTTTTTTCCACATACAATTTTTTTTTCTATTCGTTTCAAAAGCTACCGTTAAAACAAGGCAAAGTTTAGTGATATTTAACCCAGTATTTTTTTTTTACATTTTTTAGTTTTACAAAAAATATTGTGAAAAGTACTGAATTTATCAAGTCAGAGGCAGGTTCAGGTTTTAAATGGGACAGGTTTCAAATGAGTTTCTTTTTAAGGCTGGAAATTAAAGAGAAAACAATATTTAAATGCAAAAGGTTTTGGATGGTGACGTTCGTGAAAGAGACAGGAGGCCATTTTGTAAAAGAACAAAACAAAACAGACAGATTCAAAATGGCAGCTTGATCATCTTGTGCTGATGCTATGATTTACTTGGCTCATTTAGTTTCTGAAATCGATATGCAAAAGTTCTAGAAACTGCAACTACGAAGCAGAGAAAAGATCTACAGAGATGACAGTAGCTCCCACTAACCTAAAACTATCTCCTAGTTTTATTTTGTTAATTGCACTTTGCTTAACAAATGTAAAAATGCAATTAACATTTTCCACTGTCACTGAATCCTACATTTCCCACAATGTAACTTTCCAAGACTACAGACAGTCATCCATTTTGAAAACTCAACACAATTCGGTGATTATTAAGACGTGGTTTGAATGTGTCGTTTCCAAATCAGTTTCTGCAAAGTCTCGATGTAAAAAAACAAAAAAAACAAAACATACATGCATCGAGTTTAGGTTATTTCTCCTTTAAACATCAGCCCAAAATTACTCAAAAATGTCCCGTAATAGGCTTTAGAACCTGCCTCAGAGTAAAGTGACCTACAGCGATGATTCTACACAAAATGGCGTCTGTGAAGATTAGACAGAGAAGAAGAAAGTTTGAACACTTAACAGTCAAAATAACTACAAACGGGCCGAAGAAGAAGAAGGCGCCCATTTTGTTTTGCCCTCAACAAATCAAGGCTGAAAATGGTGGAAATAAATTGAGATTAAACTGTCCAAAACGTTGAAAACATCCAGCAACATTTGAGAGTAGATTTGTCATATGGCTCTGGTAAGGCTCTGGTGAAGTGTGACGGATTCAGCGTTGATTTTAAACGATTCAATCTTCAGTCTGGTGGTTTTTTTTACAGTCAGGGAGGTTTAGTGCAATTGGAGATTAGGGACGATGGGATTTGGAGGAGCTGACAGGTGAAGACAGGAGCAGACAGGTGCGCAGTCCCGAGCCAAACAACTGACCACCAAGATTACAAATGGAAATGAACTTGTGAATCTATTTTTGAACTGAAATTCTATCATATTTGTGTTTGAAATGAGCTAGATAAAGTAGTTGATATTAAAAAAACACATATTATGCAAATTGGACTCCTCATTAGAAGCATATCTAGACTTCTTCTGCAGTTTTTAAGATGAAAAACCACCATCACCGGACTCATTCTGTCATCAAATGAGGATTAATTAGGGGATTGGAAACAGAGATGTAGTTTATAAAGTTTTCCAAATGTAGTCGGAAGTTAGAAAATGTGAAATACTGATCCCAAGATGACCAAAAGCATGTCCGAAAGAGAATTAAAGCCACAAAAATGCAACGTATGTGTTCTTTAAACAAATAAACGGAACAAAGATGGACTTTAGTGACAGTTTCAAGACATTTTGTTGTTATTGAAGAAGATTTGGAAGCTGATAGATCTAAATTCCAATTATTTCAATAAACGGAGCTTAAAGAGGGGGTATTACACACGTAACATTTAGATGAATGTGTTACCTTTTATTGGTTTTAAAATGCTGTAGCTTCATAGTTACGTAGGCTTATAGGCTGAATCTTAGACGAGTGACGTTGCATCGCACTGCTAACCGTAAGAAGAGTTTGAATTCGGCTTGTGAAAGATTGGTAGATGGCTCTTTCGACATGTTTCTGATGAGAACAGTGTTGTACGGTGGTAAAAAGCATAATACCCCCTCTTCACACTATGCTGATGTGGAGTAGCTGCTGAATGTGATTTGTCTGCTGCGGTTCTGTGGTGGTCAGAAGTTGAACTGGCGGTGGGTGGGCTGGTGCAGTTGCGGGGCCGCGGTCTTTGGGGGGCGCTGTGGGTTGAGGCGGCGCAGGGCGTTTTTGGAGAGGGAGAGAGGGGGGCGGGGCTGCAGAGGATCCACTCGCCCCAACACGGAGGGAGAGACGGAGGAGGGGACCGGGCGACGCTGGATACACTCAGGTCTGACAGAGAAAGACACAAAACAAAAGACAATTATCACTTAGAGCAGTGTCAAACCTGTTCTATCACACTGACCTACAAAAGGTAAAAGACTTTAACTCTCCAGAGTGTGAAACTGAGAAAAATGACTTTAAAGTTTCTGCTTTGTCCAAACAAAATTATAATAGGCAGGGCTCTCAAAATCTGACATCTAGTCACTTTAATGAAGAAATATTTGAATGTGAAAAATATTGAGCTCAAAATTGCTTTTTGTCAAGTTCCTGTTCTCCGTCTTTGCACCAAAACTTATTTTTGGCTCAAGATACAAAGGCAAAAGGCAGAAACTGACATGCTCATTATTTGACTTCCATCCATTATAAGAAAAACACGTCACCAAGCTCCAGTCACCATGTGTTTGTGTGAAATGATACAGAAGAGTTTTGGATTTCCTGTTTAGTGTTGATCAGGATCGTGCAGCGACACTTCCACAGTGAAACAGTTTGACACAAGTGACTTTGCAGTACAGTGTGTACAGTATGAAGAAATACACACAATACTTTCACTTTAAAGATCAATGAAGTATAATTGAATACAAAGGTTTAGTTATTGAATGTGTTCAGATCCTGAGCCAAGGCCACAACAAAAAGAAGGTGAGATGTTGGATATGAAAATAAAATATATTTATGAACTAAAATCACAAGCAAAACACACACACTGTTTCTGCCTTTTGCATTTGCACGAAAACTTATTTTTGTCTCATGATACAAAAGGCAGAGAACAGGAACTGACAAATAAGGGTCAAAGGTCAATTTGGAGCTCAATATTTTTCAGGATATTTATTCACATCATAGAGGAGTCTCACATACAAACAAATGACATGAACTCATTTTTGACCAAACCTGATGTTACAGTGTTTTGCCTTTGTACAGCAGCACAGTGGTGCTTGTTATGTGCCATAAGAAGAAGATCACTTGTTGCCCAAAGGAAATTACTCATTATTATTATGATTATTATTATTATTATGACTATTATTGTTAAAATGGACTCTTGTGAGCTTTTAGACGTGTTAGAAATATGTTGTTTCCTCCTCTAAACTTACTTAGAGTTGTGTTTTTTTCATTCACGTGTTTGAGTAACTCTTTATTATTAGTCTGTTTATATTTCCAAAAGCTCAAAACAAAGTCAAGAGGCAGTAGTTTAAGTGAACAGCTCCTTTTACCATTTGTTTCGGTGAGACTGGCAGTTCCAGGTCAGATAGTATATTTACATCATAATCTCTGTCTCACCTGTGTCTGGTCTCCATGGCGCGCCTCTTCTCCTTCTTACTCCCTGGTTTGCCTCCGTTGCCTTGCGCCCTCTGCAGGTGTGTTGGTGGCCGGGGCCTGTTGCCGTGTTGGGGGCGGGGCTTGCCATTGCCGTGCAGAGGCAGCAGGTAGACGGACATGGAGGGGTGTTCGATGAGCAGGTTCTCCAGAGGGCTGGGCTCCAGGGGCAGAGGCTGAGCTCGGGTGAAGCAGGCTGGAGGAGTGACGAACCACGACTCCTCCAGAGAACCGGGCTCCAGCCGCAGGAAGTCCGAGTCCAAGTCCGAGTCTTGGTCTAGGTCCCGGTCCGGATCTGGGGCCGCGGCGTCCAACTCGTCTGGCTCAGTCATGGTGGAGTTGAGGGAGGTGAGGGAGGGGCAGCGGACCATAGGGGGCACTGTGGGGGAGGGCAGCATCACGAGGTCCTCTTCATCAGGACACACAGACGAGCCGGAGCAGGTGTCGGCTGAGAGACACAGAAGAGAGGACAAGCATGATTTTAAATGTTTAGACAAGGGAACGAATACAGTACAACTAATAACTAATACAAGTTGTTCACAGGGTTATAACCAACTCTGACACCTCTAAAATCATTATATAAAAACCTCTCAAGACCCATGACAAGAAAAGTCAGCTATTCTACCACTGTCAAGTTTTGAAAATCTGATAATGTTTGCAAATGTTTGTCTGCTGTTTAAGCTCATTCATGATACTGCTGCTCCTCCGCTAAAAAGGTTTGTCTCTCTCAACTCTGAAACCACCTCCCGAGCCGCTCAAACCACTGTGTGCAGTGAGTACAGGATCCACAAACACAGGACAAACTACAGCAAGTTCTCCATCAGTGGAACATGTTACCAACAGAGCTGATCACATGGACAAACTACAGCCAGTGGTGGTTCTAGGATTTTTCTGAAAAAAGGGCCCATTAATGGGCCACATGTTACATTAAAAAGGCCAAGTACAGGTGCAAGTACAAGCAAGACAATATAAAAAAAAGCCCTCCACAGGTCTGTTTCTTCTCCCATTAAGTTGTATTGACATAATAGGTCTACTGCTGCCAAGAGTTTGGTGGTGGAATTGCATCAGTGATCATTGAATTCTCTGGATGTTTTTCTCGTCACTTGATTGACAGAACAGGGGCACTTCAGGGGCCAATCAGATTAGAGGTGGGGCCAGGACGACTGTGGCTCCTCCTCTAGAAAAGCCCCTGACTACAGCACATTCTCCTTCAGTGGAACATGTCACCAAAGGAACTGATCACATGTACAAACTACAGCACGTTCTCACGCCTGACCAAACAATGGCTCATCTCAAACCAAACCTGTGCCCATAATGTGGACAGAGGAGAGTCTGGAGAGAGTGTGATGATCTGAGTGTGATGTTCTGGAGTGAATGAACTGAATGATGATTTTAAGATGCTAAGAGAACTGAGTGTGCATGAGGATACAGAACTGTTATAATCTGGTCATTATAACGACATTCTCTTTGTATGTTTGATTTTATAAACTATAACATGAACCTGCCCAGGGACGACAGGTAACAGGTTAAGATTAATGTAGATTGTGCACTGTCCCTGTCTCATTAAATAAATCAACTAAACTAAACTAATACAATGCAATAACCCTTGCACACCTCTGTGTAGTTCTCCAAACCAGAATAAAAATAGACTCAACTCATTACAAATAGTTTATCCTTCTCTCAGATCAAGCCCATGTTAAAGTTGCACTGCTAACTTTTATAGTGTAGGGTCTGTCACCTGCTTGTGTCCATGGAGATATTACTGCATTTCATATAATATTCCACAATATAACATTAAACTGATATAAGGATTATTCAGTTACAGGTTTTTATGGCTTTTATGGCAGCACTTGTATTCATGGAGATTGATAAGTTTAAAACGAAGTGGAATCTGGACACAAGTATTTGAAATTAATTATGTAATGATAATAAATAATAAATGATGTAATGTATTGATGATCTCTGTGAATGGAAGCTCTAAAAAAAAAACTATTCAAGGCAGCCAGCAGGGGGCAGTATACTATACTCAATAAGGATTTAGATGCCACAATCACTCTTTCTCTAGACACTAGAACATAAATGGTACTTTCTTTTCTTCTATCTGTAGTGACACCTGCTCAGAAAGTCCGGGTTGGTCATGTGGAGTGGCACTGAACAAACGGACCAGATCAAAACACTGTAGTAAACAAACGGCACATCTGATATAAAAATGTGTGAGATTATTGAGGACTTGACCTGGAATCACAGAGTGCAAACCAGGACATGAGAGGATAAAGACCTGCAGCTGCCGTTACCGAGGTGAGTCCAGGTGAAAGAAGGAGGGAATAATAAGTGGAAGAGGAGTGGAGCGGGAAAACAGGAAAGAAGGGGAGGAGGGAGAAAGGGAGGTAGGGGAGAGCAGAGAGGGTGAAAGAGGTGAGAGAGGGGAAGAAGAGGGGAGAGAGCTGAAGAGGAGAAGAGACGAGAAGGAGAGAGAGAGAATGCATCTTGCCCACACTGAATGCTTTGAGATTTCAAAACAGATCCCTACAGTCTCTATGTGCAACAACAGGATCAAACTAGGACTAACCAGGTCTAACTGAAGTCTAAATCAGGTCTAACCAAGGTCTAAATCAGGTCTAACCATGGTCTAAATCTGGAGTAACCCAGGTCTAACCTAGGTCTAAATCAGGACTATCCCAAGTCAATCAGGCTCATTTACAGTGGGGTGTAACAGGAGAGGGTCTGATCATGTCAAGACCAAGTTCAAACCTGGGACAAACCGGTTCAAGTTCTGCAGACAGTTCAGACCTGGTCTAGTCCTGATTTGGACCTGTCTCTGTTTATTCCTGAGGCAGACGTGTTTTGGTCCTGCTTTAATCCCAGTTTTAATATGTTGTGCGTGCTAGACTGAACCCAACCTGTTAGACCAGGTTCTGAACTCAAGAAAGGTGCAGGACTAAGCCAAGATGATCCACAATGTCACGATACAAACATTTTAAACTTAATTTTGATAGTAAGGAACAGACTTGATACTCAATACAAATTCTAGTACCACGATGATGATAAAAACCCTAGACACTGTACTGTAATCTTCAATATTAAATGGTAGTACTTTCTTTTCTATTCTCATTGACATCTGCTCAAACATGTACCGAGTTTCAATCCTAGTTTTAGTATCGATTAGTATCAGATTTATGATGCTTCTGACAGTCCAAGCTCAGACGCTGCTGTTGTTGTGATGCCGAGGGCTAAAAATACTTGTGATGCTTTCTTATTTTAGTGTGGCTTCAGCCCCGCCCTCTGGCCTGGAGCCTGTGTTTACATCTGAGAGGAGCAGACCGGGGCAGGTGGACTTCCCTGGGTCCTAAAGCCAACTCGGTTTAATCTGAGATCAGACGCCTTATACAGACTCACCATTTGGATCTCATGGCATTTATGAGTCTACTATTTTAGCTCTGCCACAAGTGTTGGCCGTGTAATAGAATATTGCTATTAAATCAACAAATAAGGCGGGGCAATAAGGCCAAAATCAGAGCATTTAAAAAAAAGTTTATTTGAAACAGTTTGCAGTGCTCCACAGTTCTTCCTCACTTAGCTTCTGCATTCTGAGCGTCCCAATTATTCATCATGATGAGTTTAAAAGCACTAACAACAACTAGCATGCCAACACACACTTTCTGATAATTATTTAAAAAAAAATCTTTATCATTTATGGCAAAGGAAAATTATATTTATCAACTGGACAAATGTTTATTTTGATCAAATGTGTTTCTCTGCTCATCCAAACATCATTGTTCAGTTGTGTTCAGACGCTGGTGGACATTTCCTTATATCTGTCTGCAGGGAGGAGCTAACTACACTAAAACTACTCTGAAACTACTCTGAAATTAACACACACACTTGTTCACTGTTTCTGTTTGTTAGCTCGGCCTACTGAACTTGCACTAAGTGTGGGGACATATTAGAATAATCATACAGGCATAATGAGAGCTCTCACACCTCTGGGTGTGACCTGGTTACCCCAATTGTTCTTTTTGTTTTAGGTTTGAGGATGGAGTTGTAAATAGGAGATAAACAATGTCTGAGTCTCAGTTTCTGTTGTGTCAAGGAAGGATTGTCTTTCCTAACAAAATATCCTCTTTAACTCTCCTCTGAAACCAATTAATTTCTCTGGCTCAGATCTGTACCTCACTGTCCTCAAAAACAGTGGCTCTTTATAATTTGGATACAGACACTACACAGCTGACTTATTATGACCTCAAGAGCCGCTCATACAAAAATCTGTACTGAAGCGAGACACAGTTGCTCAAACATATAGAGAGTCATGTACAGAGCCCTGAACTAATTTCTGTGTGGACTCTGTACACCTGACCTGATAGGTGCACTGGAATAGAAACACTTAGTGAAACAGTGTGCCAGAGTCTTTGTGAAACAGTTTCAGCTCTCAGTTTTCAGTGTTTCATGCAGCACTTTATAATTAAGGTGGCTGCCTTGACAACAAAATAGTCAAATGTCTGCATCCACAGTCTTCCATCTGCTTCAAACCAAATCTTTTAGCAGCAAAACTTGAATTTCCTCAGGATCAATAAAACATCTCTCTCTATTTCTCCGTTAAAAACGCACAAGCTGATCACTGACCAGTAAACATGACTGAATGTGCTCTGCATCAAAGTGGGAATTGCACCCCCACCCTTCAGTGCATGACATGGGACTCACTTAGGTAGTTGACGAGGATCCAGTCTTCCTCCTCCTCCTCCTCCTCAGACTGGACTCCATCGGGCCTCAGGTCATTGGTGTCTGCCCCAAACAGAGCACTGGTCAAACGCTGGAACATCCTGGTCCTTTGGAGGGTGCGGGGGTCACAGCCGGGAGGGGCGGAGTCAGAGCCGGAGGGGGCGGGGCAACAGGAGCTGAGGAGCAAGAGGAGTTATTATCTCTCCTTCAACATATGACGCAAGTAGAATTCGAAAGCAGGACGGCAACAACTGAAAAGTGTAAATGTAACTCACCTTTGGTCATGAGCTGCAGGAAGACAGCGCCGTATAAGGATGTGACGGGGTGGAGCTAAAGTGCATCAGAGCCAATCAGACGCTCAGATTCAGCTGCAGTGCAAAAAGGATACAGGCGCTCTGGAGGAACAAACACAGAAGAATACGTTTGAGTTAAAAGGATCACAAGACTCAAAGCAAACTAGGCCTCTAATTTCCAGAAGAATGTTCAGTACTTAGAAAACAGGACAGAGGAAGGACTAAACTGACACTAAACCACGCAGGACTAAAGCAGGACTAGACCTTTATCCAAAACTAGAGCAGAACTGGAGCAGGACTAAACCAACACTAAACAGACAATACTGTTAACTGCTATACCACAGTTTGCCACAAGATGGAGAAATCCCATAACTACCAACCTGGACTAAATTAATTTAATGCTAGAACCTTAATTTGTGCTCTGTCTTGAGCCCTTCTGCCCCGAGTCCTTAAACCCCGAGAGTCCTTAAACCCCGAGAGTCCTTAAACCCCGAGAGTCCTTAAACCCGAGAGTCCTTAAACCCCGAGAGTCCTTAAACCCCGAGTCCTTCAGCCCCGAGTCCTTCAGCCCCGAGTCCTTCTACCCCAATTTCTTCTACCCCGAGTCCTTTTACCTTTTACCCCACTGACCCAAACTGGCGCAATTTCTCTAATCCGTTTGTTAAGGAATCTCGTACAGGGCACTGGCAGCTGGTTAATTATAAACCTGTACATGACATAAGAGTCTAGAACTGAACCACAACAAGAACTGGACTCAGTCTGAGCCAAAACCAGGACTGAACCAGGACCAGGACTGAGCTAGGGCTGAACCATTTGGGAAAAAATATCTGACTGTGATTTCTCTGATTGTGGCTATATTTGTGATTTCTGTTTTATATAATAATAGGATTCTTTTTCAAGTTCACATTTTAAACACGTCCAGAAGAAATGACAAAAAAACTGAAATCTGAACTGAATCACATCTGAGAACATGTTTGCACAGATCTACACTACATGGTTAGATGTTTTTATGATATTTTGTTTCTGGAGGAAATTACAGCCTTTGTTGTTTTGCTAAATTGTCCGTTCAAATATCCAAAACCAGGACTGGACCGAAGCCAGACCTGATTAGATCACCATACTCTGAGATTTTATGCTCCATTAGAAAAGCTGAATCAAAGGAGGACGGGATCATTGTTTTGTAAAGTGGGTGTGGATTAATGTTATGTCACTATTGCAGCTATTACACTATTATTTTCTGCATAATTACTGGGGATGGGCAATTAAGTAAATTTGAACAGCGAATGAATTCAGTCGCGTGTCATCCTCAGTCATTTGTTTGGATGTTTTGAATGGGGTTGTCAAAAGAACATGATAGCACATAGACTAGTATACGCCCATGGACCACTATGCAAAGGACTGGACCACTGAGGAATAACCACATGGAAATAGAAAGGAAAGCACTACCACTTAATGTTGAAAATTACGTTCTATTGTTTAAAGAACGAGCAATTTTTTCTTATTTTCGTGGTACTGGAATCAATCAGTATCGAGTTCATTTCTTAGTATTGAAATGTTAGTATCGTGACAACACTAGTTTGAATGTTATGTCATTTCTTGATGGGCAGTGCACTGAAAAATGTAAGTATAGCTAACAGGACTTTTGTAATGGGAGGGTAGTGCCGTTAATTGGAGTTCTAATCGTCTATAATGGGGCTGTAGCGTACGGGGCACAGTGGTATATTAGTGTTATATAATGGGCGTGTATTGATACTGTGTTGCAGCTGATGTCATCAACATTCCCCGGGGTGTGAAGTAGAGATGCGCGGATTGTGGTTACAGCCACGGTATCCGCAGCTGAACTGCGGATCGGGCAGATGACGTGACGAAAAATAATATTTTAATTAAATTCGAGCAGGTGGCGGTTTAACTACTAATACTAATAAATAAATATATATTAGGTATCAATACTATGTTGTTAAGTATTGTTACGTACATCTGAAATGGCGAGTGTCATTGTACAGTCTGTGCTTATAGTATGAACAGAAGTGGCTATAGGGCCATATTGATTTAGTTAGGCATATTTTTTTCTTGCCTTTTTCATCTGGAACATAAAGTGGGCATTGCCTGATTTCAATAAAGGTTCATCTGTTCTTCTGGATGAGATGATCCGTCTATTTTGTTTTGATATCAGTTATATTTTAAAACACGCAGACATTGTAGTGTAGGTTTCCACTCAGATAAATACCTTTAAAGAAAGACCAATGGAGTGAGGCAATGACTTTGAATTAACATCGGGCAATGGCAGAATGTTCAGAACGCAATAACATCCAACACGAAGGCAAGAAGGTTAAAAAACAGCCTAGTCGGAAAACGTTGTCAATTAGCTGCGCAAGACAACCAGGCAAGTTTGGGGTTGTTACGGACTATTAAGAATGTGAACATGCACGCTCAGCGAATTTTGGAATGAATAAGCTATAGTTTGTATTTTTATCGAGGCTCCTTAGTTTGTTTGCGATGATGATTGTTCAGCGGATGGCGGGCGAGTGCGGTTTTGAAAATTGATCAAAACCTTGGGTACAAATGTATAGCGGGCAGATGATGAGTTTTGTGTCGCGGTTGAAAAAATAGCCCATCCGCGCATCTCTACTGTGAAGCTAACTGTAGGCACTGCTCTGTCTGAAGATCTGTTACTCTCGTTAAGGCCACCACACATGACACAATTTTTCGGACTTAAACAAAAAGTGCACACCACAGACACGAGGAGAATCTTATGAGATTTAAAATCTCCGATCACACAGACTGCAGTGGGATATGTCTGCGGACCGGAGGATAGAAAGTTGTGATCGCTGTGATGGCGTCAGCTGTTTCCTGTCAAGAGTAAAACCACTCACTTTGAGACTCTTGAGTGTTCAACGATCAGAGCTCTAGATCTAAGTGTTATTATTATTTGTGAAATGTGGTGCAAAACTTCAGATACAGGATTTTAAAGCAGAAAAGATTGGAGATACAATCCTGGGCAAGTAGAGTCACTGTGGCTAATCTGTAGCTGTGTGGATGTAAACAGACACACGTGAGGAATGACACTTGACATTTTACTTTTAAACAACACCTCAAACTGGATGAATAGTGTGGTTTTGTGGACAGAGGACAATTTCTATGGATAATGTGGATGAAATGCTACACTTTAAATTTACAACTCTCTGTATCGTGAGTTTGTATCATCTCTGTGTCCATCTCTCCTCTGCCCCTGATGCTGTTTTATTGACTGTTGCCGTAGCGTTGCTGATGTCTGGTGATTATGATCTAACAGAGCAGCTCAGAGTCACACTGATACCAACACACACGAGGAGCGCAGCGGCTTCAAAAGTCAGGTCCAGCCTCCTCGAACTCGGGGCAAATTCTCCTGAGAGTGTGGTTGCCTTTAAACCTTAATCTTGAGCTTTATTTTAATGCAATTAAAGACCCAGCGGCTGTTCTACACTGATTTACTCTTCAGGCGACCAGGGCCCAATCCCCGGGCCACTCCCCTGATTCACTCTTTTTTTTTTTTTCTTTTTTTTTAAGCACTCATGCTGCCCCCAACAAAATGCCACCCCTGATCAGACCATAAATAATTGACTGAGCTGGTGAGTGATTTGTAGTGTTGAAAATTAAAGACCTTAATGGGACCGTGAACATGTTTTCAGACTATTTTAAAACTTTTTGACTGTGTGCATTGTGTCTTCATTGTAACTGCTGAATATATACTGTATGCAGAACCCCCTACTGCAAAGTATTAAGTTAAGTATTATTAATGAGGTACTATTATTATTATTATAATGAAGTAGAGTGGCATATTAATGTTCTAATGGAAGTGTGTTAAAATGGGGCTGTATGAGTGTGTGTTGTAGTGTATTTTAGTAGAAGTCTATGGGGTAGAGTGATACATTAGTGTTAGAATGTGTGTGTGATATAATGGGGCTGAATGGGTGTGTGTTGTAGTGTAATTTATTAGGAGTGTATGGGGCAGAGTGATATAGTGGTGTTAGAATGGGTGTGTATTATAATGGAGCTGTATGAGTGTGTGTTGTAGTGTATTCTAATGGGAGTGTATGGGGCAGAGTGGTATAATTGTGTTAGAATGGGTGTGTATTATAATGGGGCTTTATGTGAGTGTGAAAGGTGGTGCATTTTAGTAAAAGTCTATGGGTAGAGGGGCATATTAGTGTTAGAATGGGTGTGTATTATAATGGGGCTTTATGTGAGTGTGAAAGGTGGTGCATTTTAGTAGAAGTCTATGGGGTAGAGTGGTATATTAGTGTTAGAATATGTATGTGTTATAATGGAGCTTTACGGGTGTGTGTTGTAGAGTATTCTAATGGGCGTGTACGGGGCAGAGCAGTATAGTAGTGTTAGAATGGGTGTGTGTTGGTGTGAGGCTGAGCTGTGATCTGGTTTGACCTGATCCTGGTGCATTCACACACATTAACAGCTGCTGATCTTTATCACAATCCTCCACAGAAACTTTAACCTCACGTCACCCGACAGTCTGGACCGTCACCTGCTCTACAGTGGGTCATCAGAAATAGAAATGATGTTATTAAATCTAACAGGGGTGGCAGTTGTGAATGTTTTTAAATTAAGACACCATTTAAACAGATCCAGGGTCATTAAAAGGTCCTAATTTATGCCATGTTATAATGTTACCTCATCAGAAACAGACCTGGAGTTGGATTTTGTTTCATTCACACATTTGAGAAACCTTTTTATAGAGCTGTGCAAAAATATTCAAATATCGATATATCGTATAGTTTATTGTGATGATACAGTATCGATTTCATAGGCTGCTGTATCGATATATCGCCAAGAGTATTTTTTGGTATATTTTACTAAATTATTTTGTCATGGTTCTACAGTTTTGTTGTTTGTTTAGTGGAAGGAAACTTGATTATGTGACACATTTGACATTTTCACTGTTTTGATGATTAAAATGTTTGTGTTTCATATGAACTTTGCACAAGAAGTGGTTTAACAAAGACTTTTAGTATCACTTATCACTTCTAGTATCATTTAGCTATTATTTTTCTTAAACTGTAATCGAACTGATTTGAAATATATCGTATCGAATCGTAAGCTCACTGTATCGGGATATGTATCGTTTCGTGACCTGTGTATCAAGGTATGTATCGTATCAGCAACTTCTTAATGATACCCAGCCCTACTTTTTTTATTACTCTGTCGACATCTTCAAAGCTCAAAATGTGCTGTCCCACCTTGTGATGTCATGAAGTTGTAGTTTTCAAGTGAACGACTCCTTTTACCTTTAGTTCAGTAATAGTTTTAGTATCGGTTAGTACTATTGGTCTGATTTTGGATATTTTTGACAATCCTTGTTCATGTAACTCCTTCCTTCACACATTGTAAAAAAGCCTGGCCAGAATTTAAGATATAAACACTTAAATCTATCAGGAAATGACTTAAAAGTAGTGAAATGATCTGTCCATGCAGCAAGATTATTTTACGTGACAAGTTATCTAAAAATAAATGACCTCTAGACTAGACTTAAACAGTCTCAGAGTAGCAGAGTAGATAATCAATCTGAAAACAAGAGGAATAACATGATGTAGGTTTTGAAATCTTGGCCAGATGAGAGAAATTTGCAGTGAACTTTTGTTTTCCAGCTAAACAGAGTTCATTGCAGAGACCCTGACACTTAAACACAACATTTGCTGTTTGACAAAAGTAAACACAGAGTTACATAAAAGTCTGTTTACTGGGGCCACTGCCCTTAACTGAAAACTGCTTCTGTCCAAGTCTGAGGATTAAATAAAACTCACATAAAAATACCATGCCATAAATAGACAAGTATAAATGCAAACATAAACTGGATATAAGCATAAAGCTTTTATTTTTTGCCTTCTCAACAAAAATATCTCGCAAAACTACGCCACCTAGTGTCAGTATACAGTATGCGTTGGTTACATAAACACCTAAACATGATCCAATAAAATAGAAATATTTTGCATTTAAAACCACAAACCACCAACTTACATCAAATATAAAAAGAGAATCCACCAGTATTTTGTTCAAAATTTAAACCTCCAACTTAACATCTCTACAGCAGAACAAGATCCTGAACCTCACCCAAATATTTGAAATACTTGGAAACAATAAGTCAATTCGGTAAAATGCAAAGTAATTACACCGGCAGACAGGATTGTTATAAAAGTTCAGAGCTATAAAGTGAATTCGGCGCCATTTTCTAAGATTAAATTATACGGTAAACCAATTTAAGGTGAGACAAAACATTCAAAACAGCGCCACAGCCAACTGCGCCCAAAGAAGGAAATGGGCCAGTGTAACTCGACGCTGCAGGACGCCCGGCTGTTTAATTTAAATGTAATTAACATTTTCCAACATTTGCATAAATACAGCGTGATATTTCACTATGGATTTGCCTTTTTGTTGCACAATAATAAAATGTAATCACAAATACAAGCCAGAACGACAAAAACATGAAAAATAAACCATTAATCTTAAAATTTCTATTCAAAAACGCTTAAAATTTAGCAGAATTTACAAAATGGTTGAACAGAATAATGAGTAAATACGAGGCCTGGTGATTTCTGGGTTAAAATGGCAGTAAACAACAAAATCTAGGCCAAATTTTCTTCTCAAAATAGACAGAAGTAAACAAAGGAGGACGAATGACAAAACCAAAAGAATAAGAAATGCAATTTTACTAAAAAATGCAAAAATTTGTCACTGTTTTAAAGGATTTTTGTGAAGGTTAGAGACAAAGATCTGCCGTCGTTGTTGCAGCTTTTGACGGCGGAGGGAGGCGCCTGTCCGAGAGGATAAAGCCGATTAAACGAGTCGATTTTCGGATTAAAAACAATAAACGCCGCTGACTTTCGCATCATTTGAACAGATCATCAGTTTTAACAGTAAATCGTGTGTTTTTGCAGGATGGCGCTGCTTTTTGTCGTGAGAAAAGATCTGGAACAGTGTGTTAAATCCGCGGAACAAAGAGCCGAGTCCTCACCTGCGAAGAGGCCGAGCGCGGAGCAGAGCGAGCCGGAGCCAGGCGCAGGTCCCCCGGGGTGAGGTAGAGCAGAGCCCCGGCAGTAGTGTGGAGGAAGGCGGCTTGGTGGTGCTTGGTTTTCGGGGAGGACGCGCTCTCTCTTGGGCCTCCTCTCTCCTCGGCTCCTCTTTTTGCTCAGCCTTTGTTGTTGTTGTTGTGGGGCATTAAACAGCTGATCGGGCCCACGTCACGGCGCACGGGCCAATCAGAGGCGGCGCTGGGGGACACGTGATCGGGGTTCTGCAGGACATGACCGGGCAACATCTGTGGAGCGGGCGGAGCGGCGGAGAGGTTATGTAAAAACAGCAGTGTGGGCGCGGAGAGGAGGGGGGCGCTGGGAAGGCCGTTCAACCGGACCGAGCGCTTAAAGAGCCCGTGATACACTGTTTTATGATCTCTTATAATGTTTCCTCCTCACAAACAGAGCTGGAGCTGCGTTTGGTTTCATTCACACATGTTTGACTAACACTAAATCTAGGGTAGTGCTGTAGTCAAGACGTCTGAGGGTCGAGACTGAGACTTTTAAAGGCTGAGACCGGGACAAGACCGAGACCATGGCCCATCAAGACCATTTTTTGCAATTTCCTATATTTATTTGTATTTTACAGTTATTTTGGCACATTTATATCAATGTTTTTATAAATCTATCTCCATTTGATCTGATTCATGTTCATTTAAGATTAAAATAAAACAAGCGAACTGTGCTGCACTGAAGCACTCTGCGCCCCTTTTTTGGACCCTCACCTACATTTTGAGAACCTCTTCTTTAATCCCACTTCCACTGGCACTTGAGTCTGAGACAAGACCGAGACCAAATGCCGTCAAGTCTGAGATGAGACCAAGACCGTAAAAAAGTCCGGTCTCTAGTACCACGACACTAATCTAGGGTGACCAGATTTTCAAAATAAAAAACTGGGACACCCCCGGTTTGTGGTGGTTGGTAATAATAAAATTGTGAATCGAGTGTGTAACTTTGTCCATCCACCACTAACATTGTCCATCCACCACTAACATGTGAGTCAGTATAGTCACATTTTTCTTTGTGCTTTGATCATTTTTAAGCAGCTTTTCTGTATTTTACCTCAACAAATGTCAATGTTTGTCTCTCTGTACTGTTGGCAAGAATCAGATTGGTCAAAAATAGGGACACCTGAGACATTTCTTGTATAAAACTGGATCAAATCACTGGTTTTGGATAAATCCACTGGGACAGGGGACAGAGGCTCAGAACTGGGACTGTCCTGTGGAAAAAGGGACATTTGCTCACCCTATCTAAATCAGACCTGGTTGACTCTGGTGGACTCTGACTGACCCATTTAAGATCATTTGGAATTACCAAATAAACATATTTTATCATTTGACCTCATGTCTGGACTAAAGCTGCTTTGCTTTTATTTTCGAGTTGTTTTTAAGTAACATTTCTATAAGACAGTCTCACTTTTTCATTGTTTAATCAGAACATAAACTCTTCCCAGTCTGAGCAGCTCTTCACAGCAATGACATTTACTGCTTTTTATAAAGAAATACAATGAATATTCTGCAGAACTGGGTTTTTTCCTCCACAATATTTTTTCCAGAAAATATTGTGGAGCACGGAAAAAAGAATTGCCCGCCCCTGCTCTAAATAGTCTGTCTGCATCTCCAAAGATCAACATGCTCTGTTCCATTTTGTGATGTTATGTTGCGTTGGTTTTCAAGTGAACAGCTCCTTTTAGCTTTAGTTCAGTAGAGAGAGACAATTCCAGAGTTGAATTGATCCAAATGATTCTAATGAAGGTGTGAGGAGTTTAAAGGACCCCACATAATGCTGTTTTATGATCTGTGTTCTAATGTTATTTCCTCATCACACGCCCACCTGGAGTTGTGTTTTGTTTCATTCACATGTTTAACACACAAATCTGCACATTTAGACTAGTTCTTCTCTCACACAGAAAACACTCTCTTCCACCTTGCTGCAATACAGGAAGTGCTCCACTGTCTTTTAAACTGTTAATTTCAGCCCTGGATTTGCCAATCTCTACTAAACGAAAGGTAAAAGGAGCTGTTCACATGACATCACAAGGTGGAACAGAGCATTTTGAGCTTTGGAGATGTAGACAGACTAATAATAAAGAGTTACTCAAACATGTGTGAATGAAAAAAAAACACAACTCCAGGTGTGGTTTTGAGGAGGTAGCAGCATTCTAACATGACTTAAAGCTCAGTATAGGACCTTTTAAGATGCACTATGTCACTTTTCTGGTGGAGGGTGTGCCACCTGCTTGTCTCCATGGAGATGTTGATGCTTTACCTGGAATATCCCACAACCGGTGAGTCTGAGATGACATCACGACATTCAACAGGCCAGTCATATTTAACACAGATGGAGCAGCTCAAATGAATCTTGTTCAGCTGCAAGTTTGTGTTGTGATACAGGGAGTTTTTGGCTCTAGTCACTCATAGAAATGATCAGGTTCAACATTTGTTATCATTTTACTGTTTTAAATAAAAGACAAATACATTTAATGGCGTACTGTTGGACATTTAGGAAAAGCAAAAAATACAGGAGTAAAACAGCAGTGTGGGCATGGAGAGGAGCAGGTCATCTGGGAAGGCCTTTCAACCAGACTCAAGACTTAAAGGGCTCATGTTACAATATTTTCTGATCTGTTACAATGTTGTCCCACTTCTGAAACTGGAG